TTGTTTTTGTGGATACAGACTAACGCTACTACCGCTCTGATACTTGACACCATGTATAGTGATATAGGTGACTGGTCCCTGGTTTTCCTACTGAGCCATTAGTTGCCCCAGGGGCAGATCACCAGGAGCAACATTTGAAAGCACTCAACGCATTTTTATTTCACATTTTAAAAAAAACCAAAAACGTACAGCTAAACAAAGTGTGGTGTGGGGCTGCAAACAGCTGCCCCAGAGGAAAGGGCTAGCGCGCCAAGTCCCTCCAGTCCAAGCCAAGTCCCCTCAGGAGCAGCGGGCCACACAGTGGCTGATCCCGAAGACACGTGCTTTCCTCGTAATTAGGCCCCATATCGGGAAGCGGCGGCTCCAGATTCCGCAGCCCGGCGACGGACACAGTCCCGGCTCCTTCCCGGGCCACGGCCGCTGCTGGAGGCGAGGCGGCGGATCAATGCGTCTGCCGGGCTCGGTGGTGATCGGGGGGGGGGGGGAACAGGGTCCAGCGCGGCCAGCCCAGGCTCCCACCCCCGGCGGCGGCGAGGCAGCTTCTTCTCGCTCCTCCCGAGAGCCGCTCCCGCCCCGAGTCCATCCCGGCTTCGGTCCCCTGCGGGCGGGCGAGTTCTGAGGAAACCGGGCCGGGTCCAAAAGTTTGGGGGGAGGGGTGTCCCCTGGCAGGCAGAGGGAGGGGCGGCGCTAGGACTCCTCGGGCTTGTCGGCGGGCGGGCCGCAGGGCTGCAGCATCTTCTCCATGAGGTTGAAGCGCACGCGCGCCTTGCTCTCGTTCTCGGCGATGGCGAAGTAGTTGAGCAGGTCGAAGTGGCCCATGTAGGAGCAGTACGAGTCGCGGTGCTGGTTCACCAGCCACTCCCACTTGGTGGTGTCCGCGTGGCCCGTGCCGATGTACTTGGACTGCAGGTGCTCCAGCTGGCTGTGGATGGTGTAACGATCCGTCATGGCGGCAGCAGCGGAGGACGCTCTCGACACCAGCGAGCCCCAGGCGCTTCCAGACTTCACCCGGCTCAGGCACAAAATGGCGACCGGAAGTGACGTTTGGGAGGAAATGCGTAGATGTACGCCGCTCCCAGCCCTTCCTCCCCTCGATGAATACTGCGTCGATGAGTCACCGGACCAGTTTTACCATCCGTCACAAAACCTCGCACTGTAAGGAGAAAAACGAAACTGTGGTTCGCGTCGCTCAGAGGTATGACGGGATCGCGCCCGGCAGGAGAACGAGGTAAATTCACCCGCCTCTGGGCGGCGCATGCGCTGACTGCACTAGTACGGTCTCAATTGCATGCTGGGAGCTGTAGTTCCGGGGTAGGGGAGAGAGAGCGCGTGAGCGGGGACGGGGTTGGCTCCGTTGCCGGGCCCGAGGTGTGTTTTTCTTTTCACCAATGGCCACTGGGCGTGACGCGCGCAGCCCTCCCCCCAGCTCCGTGGTCTCGGGGAGCCTCGTGCGGCGCCCGCTGGCGCCGGGGTCTGAGCCCAGCTCGGGCACGTCGTGGCGGGGCTGTGTGAGTGGGGGAGTGGAGCGCTGCCTGCCCGCCCTGTGTGCCACAGAAACGCCCAGCCTAGGACCGGCCACCCCGGCCCCTCACTTCGTTCCTGGGCAGCCCCGAGGCTGGGGCGTGTCTGTAACGGTTTTAACTGTTCGGGCCAGCGCCCGTTGGCCGGTCAAACGGGTTCCCCGCAGCCAAGTACGAACAGCGCTTCAGTGCAGCGGGGCGCCGGGCAGAGCGCCCGCAGCCCCCCTGCAAAAGTCCCGCCCCGGCTCTGTTCAGTGCGGCTCCGTCCTGAGCCCCAGCCTAAGCCTTCGCTGCTTGTCTGAGCGCTGCGCCCCGACCGCGTAGAGCTAAGCGGGATCCCTGCAGCGGGAGTGGCGCTGCTGGCAGAGTGAGACCTAGTCCTAGTGACAGAGTTGAACATGTGGTTGTTTTCCGGATCGCTTTTGGAGTGCATCGATCTGCTGCTGTGCACGTGACTGTCGTTTTACTCACGTCTTGGGCAGGGCCGGCTCCAGCTTGGCAAGCAGGTGCTTGGGGCGGCCACTCCGGAGAGGGGCGGCAGGTCCAGCTATTTGGCGGACGGTCCCTCACTCCCGATCAGAGCGAAGGACCTCACGCCAAATTGCCGCCGCAGATCGCGGCTTTTTTTTTTTTTTTTTTTTTTGGCTGCTTGGGGGCGGCCAAAACCCTGGAGCCGGCCCTGGTCTTGGGGTTACTAGCGCAGAATGGCGTCGTGCCCCTGAACAGAGGAAATGGTTAGAAAACAGAACACTTTAGAAAAGAGGTTTTACTTCCCTCCCAGCTGCAGCACAGCCTGGCTATTTTCAGTACAGTTCTGGCTCTCCAATGTGAGACTTCCTGGGGTGCTTATTTATAGAGCAGGAATGAGATTCTGCTTATCTAAAGATAACCTCAGGAGCTGGAATAGGCTGTGCTCTATAGCGCTAGCTTTAAGGTAGTGTGGGAGCAAAATCACACTCATTACACAACTATGTTTAAATAGTTTGCCTGATAAAAGTAGACAGGTGGGTTTTTTGTTTTTGTTGGGGGAGGACCCATGGTTGTGAAACCAACCTATCATATGCAATTCCCCAGATATTCTCTAGCCTGGTTTTATAAAATGGTGCTTATCTGGTTCTCAGATAGGTGAATTATATAATAACTACATTATCAAATCCACATCTTCACTTCACAGAACTACTTGATGCTTGAGCTTACACCCATGGAGATCAAGGAGAGCTTTGTTATTGACTTGAAAGAGAATTGATGTGGTTTGGATATATGAGATCCTGAATTACTGACATTAATCTTCAGCATCTATTTCACAATAATAATGTATTAAAGGAATTGACCTATACTTGTAACTGTCAGTTGGCCCACTATTAGAATTTTCAATTAAAGTAATTAAAGCTTCAGTAAATGATTTTATACAATATTTATTATGAATATTGAATAATTAAGGGACTACAGTTTCTCCATACTTGGATTCTCTGAAGTAACTAGTGTTTTTACTTGCAAAAATATGTTGATGTAAACAATGAAAAACACTTGGAAATTGTTTTATTTGCTGAAATTCATAAATTCATAAAGAGTAAAAATTGTATCATTCCAAGTTGTTAGGAGATGCAGTAACCAGAAGAAATCTACACTTGCAGTGACTCTAACTGGCCATTGGATGTCAGAGTTGTCCTGTACTTGAATACAATAATAGTCTGGCTATGTAGACTCTCTCTTCAGGACGTACGCTACCAGCACTCCCAGCTATCTTCGAGACACCACTGACTTCCTGAGGAAATTACAGTCCATTGGTGGTCTTCCAGAAAATACCATCCTAGCCACTATGGATGTAGAAGCCCTCTACACCAACAATCCACACAAAGATGTAATACAAGCCGTCAGGAACAGTATCCCCGATAATGTCACGGCATACCTGGTGACTGAACTTTATGACTTTGTCCTCACCCACAACTATTTCAGGTTCGGGAACAATGTATACCTTCAAGTCAGCGGCACTGCTATGGGTACCCACATAGCCCCACAGTATGCCAACATTTTTATGGCTGACTTAGAACAATGCTTCCTCAGCTCTCGTCCCCTAATGCCCCTACTCTACTTGCGCTACATTGATGACATCTTCATCATCTGGACCCATGGGAAAGAGGTCCTTGAGGAATTCCACCAGGATTTCAACAATTTCCACCCCACCATCAACTTCAGCCTGGACCAGTCCACAGAAGAGATCCACTTCATGGACACTACAGTGCAAATAAGCGATGGTCACATAACCACCCTATACTGGAAACCTACTGACCGCTATACTTACCTACATGCCTCCAGCTTTCATCCAGACCACATCCCACGATCCATTGTCTACAACCAAGCTCTAAGATACAACCGCATTTGCTCTAATCCCTCAGACAGAGATAAACACCTACAGGATCTCTCTCAAGCGTTCTTAAAATTACAATACCCACCTGCTGAAGTGAAGAAACAGATTGACAGAGCCAGAAGGGTACCCAGAAGTCACCTACTACAGGACAGGCCCAACAAAGAAAGTAACAGAACGCCACTAGCCATCACCTTCAGCCTCCAACTAAAACCTCTCTGGCGCATCATCAAAGATTTACAACCTATCCTGAAGGACGATCCCTCACTCTCACAGACCTTGGGAGACAGGCCAGTCCTCGCTTACAGACAGCCCCCCAACCTGAAACAAATACTCACCAGCAACTACGCACCACACAACAAAAACACTAACCCAGGAAACTAGCCCTGCAACAAATCCCATTGCCAACTCTGTCCACAGATCTATTCAAGGGACACCATCATAGGAGCTAACCACATCAGCCAGACCATCAGGCACTTGCTCACCTGCACATCTACCATTGTGATTTATGCCATCATGTGCCAGCAATGTCCCTCTGCCATGTATGTTGTCCAACCCGGATAGTCTCTACGCAAAAGAATAAATGGACACAAATCAGACATCAAGAATTATAACATTCAAAAACCAGTCGGAGAACACTTCAACCTCCTTGGACAGACTAAAAGTGGCAATTCTTCAACAAAAAAACTTCAAAAACAGACTCCAACGAGAAACTTCAGAAGTGGAATTAATTTGCAAACTGGACACTATCAAATTAGACCTGAATAAAGACTGGGAGTGGATGGGTCACTACAAAAACTAAAAACTAATTTCCCCATGCTTATTTCCTCCTATTGTTACTCACACCTTCTTGTCAACTGTTTGAAATGGGCCACCCTGATTACCACCACAAAAGTGATTTCTCCTCCTATTGATAATTGCCCACTTCCACTTTAATTGAATTGTCTCGTTAGAACTGACCCCCCCACACACACACTTGGTAAGGCAACTCCCATCTTTTCATGTACTGTGTATATATATCTGCCTACTGTATTTTCCACTCCACGCATCTGATGAAGTGGGTTTTAGCCCACGAAAGCTTATGCCCAAATAAATTTGTTAGTCTCTAAGGTGCCACAAGTACTCCTCGTTGTTTTTGATAATAATCAGTATGAGTGGTTGCTGCTGCAAAAGTCAGTGGGCCTGTTCTCATGTGAGACAGCTAGGTCAATGGAGAAAGACAGACACTGTGATTTTCTACCTCAGGGTTTACCTGAGCTTTTAAGCCTCCCATTGGTCCTGCATGTAACAGGAGAGCCCACACATGCTATGTTTGACCGTACAATTCAAACATAGGGACAAATCAACCCAGAAAGAAGGGCATTGTTATGTGAGTATTGTTATATTTGGCATTCACCTGGAAACATTACAAAATGCACTTTGCTAATTTTCTGACACTTACTAGAAATCACAGCATCCCTCACTATTTTGGTTTGTTGTCCTGCTGATACAGTATCACAGAGATCTCCCTGATAATAAATTGCTTGAGATTTCTCCAGAAACCAGCCTGAAAAGAATGGAAATATGTAAGAATAATGTGGGGCTAGGGTAGAAAAGAATTCTCATTCCTGGATGGAAAATACATTGCATGGGAAAAGATTATGCATTTTCCTTATAAGCAGGTCTCTCTGGCTCCTGACTGACAGGATTCTTGGACAATTACTTGCACAGATCCTATCACCTCTGTCATGCTAGGCTAATAAAACCTATCTCTTGTTCATTCTGTGGTCTTTTTTTCCCTGAGATGTCCCATGGTGTCATATACGTTGTACATACCTTTTTATATACACATAATTGGCCAAGTACTGTGATGACTTATAACTCATGTAACTGCAGAATGTGCATAAATTGGCCCAGTGAGTATCAGCTGGAAGATCTCTTTTCTTCTTTGCTGAACAATCCTGTGTAAAGCTCTTTCCACAAACTAGACCTCTTCTTCCCTCTCTCCCCATTTCTCATCCTTGCTATCCAAATCTTGCTCAGATTTCTCATCCTTGCTATCCAAATCTTGATTCCTTTCCAATAAGTGAATTGCTCAGGATATATCTTAGCATAAAAACAAGGAAGCCATGGTAAAAAACTCTTAAATTATTTCCTAGAAATTTTGCTTTATTTAATGTTTTGAATCTGTGATTTAATGGTGTGTTTAAAAAAAAAAAAACTTCATAGAACAGGATTGTGCCAATGGATCCTAGCCAAAACTGTACATACAGTAGTAAGAAAATGATTAAAAACGAGTGATAAAAGCAATAAAATACCATGTCCTACCACTTCCAGGCATATGCTTCGAGTATGTGTCGCTTC